AGTAAATCAGCCCTAGAAATACAAATATCACATGATCTCCCTTACATGTGAATGCTAAAAAAAGCTGCTTTGTAGAAGTAGGAAATACATAATGGAGAAGAGAGGAGGAATGGGAGAAACTGGTCAACAGGTACAAAGTCAAAGTTGGGAAAAATAAATTCTGGTATTTTATTATACCATAGGGTGACTATAGCTCAAAAATTTTACATTTCAAACTAACTAAAAGAGAGGATGTTTTGAATGTTTCACTCCAAAGAAATGATGAAATTCTTGAGATAATAGATATGCTAAACCCCTGATTTGATCATTACACTATATATACATATATATGCATATACATGAAGGCATCATACTGCATGCAATTATTATGTGCTAACTACAAAAAATAACTTGGAAACTCTAAATCAATTTTTTAAAAAGCCAGATTCAAGAACAAAATATTAAAAATACACAAACCAAAAATCTTTAATAAAGCATGAGGAAGCTCCAACTCTTTACTGGAGTTTTAATAGATTCCTAGATTCCACTGGAAAAAGAGCAAAAGGAAAAATCTAAATATTAAAAACACATTAAGCTTGTGTCAGAATACATGCAGGTTTCAGTGTTTAGAAGATATAATGAAACACCAGGAAAATCGGATAGCTGCAACCAAAATATTCTTCAAAATACATCAGAACAATAAAGAACAATTTCAAATAGCAAGGGTTCTTTGGAGAAAAATTCCCATTTTTATGGGAGCAAAGTTTGTTTCACAAGAAGCTGAATAATAGAAAGGGAGAAAAAGTAAACTTATTAAACAGTAAAATGTTAGAAAATGTGTATGGTACAAGCTCTTAAACATAATACAGCTCACATGTCTACATGAATGCTGATTAAAGATAAGAGATTGGGCTGGACCACGGTTCTTAAAGAAAAAACATAAAGGGCTGGGGATTTAGCTCAGTGGTTCTGCTCTCTGCCTTGCAAGTGCAAGGTCCTGAGTTCAATTCCTGGTATCAAAAAAAAAAAAAAACATAAATATTGGGAAGTTAGAGTTGGATAAAAGTACATTAAAATATCTTAGTTTTGAAGAACCTGATCAGTGCAACTGGCTTACTTAAGAGTTCTATTATTTTATTCATTACTATTATTATTCATACACTCATTCATTCACCTACTATTTGCAGTGCAGAGAAATCAAGCCCAGAGCTTTCTGCATGCTAACTACACATTCTACCACTTATCTACAGACTCAGTCGTATTTTAAAACTTCTGAAGAAAAGGTGGAGAAACATAAATTCTAACTAAATTAATTTGAGAAGGTAAGAAAATTGTTTTACTTAAAGGTCATACAAAAAGCCTCCAAACACAGAAATCTTGCTCAGAAGAAAGAAAAAAAAGAACGAAAAAAAAAAAAAAACACTAGTGGAGACTTCAAATCCTTCCTTTCAGAATCAAAAAAATAAATAAAATGTATTTCATACAGTATTTACTGTGCAGTGAATTTATATTAGCGAACTTTCAAAGAGGGATAAAAATAGTCATTCATGTGTAGATGAGCACCTATAAAAGTAAAAAAATCTTTCAGTAAAAACTTTAAAAAAAACACACTGGCTCATTATTAAAGCCAGTTTACTTCCCATGAAATAAATATTCAGTGGTCTTAGCAATTTATTGGCTGAGTGAAACCTTGCTGATATAAAAATATAAATTGCCAGGGCTGGGGATTTAGCTCAGTAGTTCCGCCACCTGTCTTGCAAGCACAAGGTCCCAAGTTAGATCCCCAGAACCAATATATATATAAATTGCCTGTGTATCAAACAAATCATTAAAATTGTAAATATTTCAAAAGTATCCTAACATTCTTGGTATTTCAGTGAGGTATTCAGAAGATACTTTTGAGGACCACCAGGGAATGTTGTTGATGAACAAATCTCTGGCAAGGAGGACAATCAAGCCTTGCAGTGTGTGAACAAATGCCAAGTCTGATATAGGCCTAATGCCACACAACGACCACCGTAGGGTTAGGACCTTGTGAGCAAGGTCTGCTTATCAGGCCAGCTCCCTACTGACAAGAAAGTCCACCATAATTATACAACAGAGTTTATCTAGTTACACATACTGATACTTTAGATCTTTTAGGGCCTCAATCCTCACGCAGATGTGGAGTGGTTGTTTGGCTCAGAAACTCTCATCTAAGCATTTTCAGTGCCTTGCTTTGTAAGTATAATCTAAGTCAATTCTATCTTGTCAGAAGTCAGAAATCAAAAAGGAGTACATAGCTTTTTATATATTTTTTCAGAATACACAGATTCTAACCTGATAAGAGTGAAGAAATATCATGACTGTCATATATAGGCATTACTACAAATAATCTTATCACATTTATACTGAGCTAATAAAGCAATCCCAATTATATTTACTAAAATTATTATAGCATTTAGTGGCTTTACTTGGGGTAATAGCTTCATTGAGGTATAATTTACATATCAAACAACTCATTCATATGAAGAATATAATTTAAAGGCTTCTTACATATGTTCATACACTTGTGTCACCAATACCACTACAAATTTTCATTACTGTGAAGAAACACCACATTTTCTTTAGCAGTTGACCTTTATTTCCTCTCAGTGCCCAGCCCTAGGCAATCACTAATGTACTTTCTGTCTCTATACACTTCCTTATTATGGACATGTTGCATAAATGATATCATACCATATGTACTATTTTCTGTTATCTTTTAATTATTAGGACTGTAATGTTCATCTATGTTCATGCATTATTCAAATTTCTGTTACTATATCTAAATCCATTACTTGTGATTCAGAATGGCTCTGCATGATTTCGAGTTCACTGTGGTTTTTTATCTAATATATGGTTTATCCTACAGAATGTTTCATATATACTTGAGAAAGTGTATTCTGTTCAAATGGTGCAGAGTAAGCTAGAGATGTCTATTAGGTCTTCATGATTTCTCATGTTATTCAAATCATTTATTTCCTTCTTATTCTTCTGCTTAATTCTTCCATTCATTATATAAAGTAGAGCACTGAAGTCTCCAGCTATTATTGAATAAATGTCTGTTTCCCCTTCAGTTTTGTGAGTTTTTGATTCATGTATTTTTGCCCTGTTAGGCACATTATTTGTTTAGAGTTGACAAAGCATCTTGATAGATAAGGCTTTGTCATTATAAAATGTCCCTTTTTATGTCTATCAATATTCTTTCTTCGATTTTTTGCAATATTTTTACTTTCTTTATTTTATGGCTTTTGCATTAGTCATCTTTCCATCACTAGAACAAAATACCTGACATACACAACTTAAGAGGATAAAGTGCTTAGTTTTGCTAATGGTTTGAGAGGTCTCATTCCATAGTCAGCACATTCCACGGTCTGCTTTCTTCCGAGGCAGAAATATCATGGCAAAAGGGCATAATAGAGGAAAGAAAGCCAGGAAGAGCGGGGGGAAATGAAAGTGAAGAAGGGGCCAGACACAATGATCATGCCTCCCATTACCTAATAATCTCCTAGCTGTTTCTCAAACTGCTTGAGTTGAGGATCAAGATTAACCATTACTGTTGTTATTGAAGTTTATACATCTAAACTAATGTGTTAGTTAAAAGTGAATTTTTTGAGTAAACTACTTCCTTTCAGATAACATGAAGTTTTTCTTGTTAGCAAAATCGTGGTTTCAATATTTGCTGTAAGAATTTTATAAGGCAAATCTTGCATTTAAAGCATGTGAAACTCAAACTTTTTGTATGGACTAACTTTAACCTAGTTATGAAATAAATAGTATACTAAAATAAACTTTAGGCAAACAGATATTACTGTCCAATAACTCAAGTAAATATTATCACATCTACACTACTGCCAAAACAATTTGAAAAGTAGTCATTATATATACATACTGAGTACATATATGTAATCTTTAACTAAAAGTGTAGAATGTATTTAGTTTTGATTCAATGCAACATATTGCAATGTTCTATATCTAATGTTTAATTGAATTTATTTTTCTATTTTTTTCTGTTTGTAATTTTATGTTATCCTCCCTTTTGTTTGTTTGCAAAAATATAACATGTTTTGTAATTATAATGGTTTATTCTTTGGCTTTAAGTTTTTATATTTTCTTATTTACTTCTGAAATGACTCCAAGCAATACTCTTTTCAATGAAAAACTAATGAATTTTTTAAAAGTACTCTTTATGGTAGTGTTGTATCGTCCAGCAACAACATTCACCATCATTTTCAACCCAGAGCAGAAGTAAAGATTACTTACCTTATTCTCTCCTTACTACCCTGCTAATGTAAAGCCTTTATTTCACTGTATATCTATAAGCACAACAAAGATATAAATGATAAAGATATTTTCCACTGTGTTTATAAGTACTTCTAATAACTTTTTTTTTCTGCATTTATCTCTGATACATCAAAGAAGATAACCTTAGATTTTAAGTAAAGGAAGCAGCAGAAAATTCTATACATCTTTAAGATCACATTTTAAAATCTCATGTTTACTGTTAGAAAACAATTAAAAGTAAATTTGCAAGCACTAATAGTCAAAAGTATAAAAGAGAACAACATAACCAACAAAATGAACATAACATGAGATAAAGATGAACCTTTTAATCAATGAAGTAACACAAAATTCTAAAAAAAAATCAACACTTAGAAAGAAATTATGTGCAAAATAAAAATTTTAAATATATAATTTCTAGTAAATATGATGTATATAACTGGAGAACCTAACTTGTAGTAAGATAAAACATAACCACTGACATTCCACTGAACTGGCAACAAGAAACTGAAATTAAGTGAACTAATACACTCAAAGTCAGCTAACAAAAAATGGACATGGATACATAAGACTTTGGTATATACATCCTAAACCTTTGAAACAAATAGATAAATATACTAAAAGGTAGAAAATCATGAAAAGATTTAAAAGAATATTTTTAATTTGATGAAAACAAACAAATCATTTATGATAATTAGTTTAAATGGTTTGACACTTACCAATAATAGACAAAGTTTTCCACACTGAATTACTTTAAATCCAAACACATACTACACAGGAAAAACAAACCAAACATAAGCTGGGAATCAGAACAAAAGATAAAAACATGGACAGAAATAAATAAACAAAACATTCACAATAATACACTGCAAACTAAATTACATACAAAGTAAAATACATTATACAAAATTTAAGTTTATAAGAAAAGACACAGAAGCTAATCTTAAACACCCAGAGACCATGCAACCTAAGTTCCCACTCCAACTCCAGTCACTATATCTCACGTCTCCCTACTTTATACTGATCATACTTTATTGACAAAAAATTCTATTTCTTAAATGTTCATCTTCCCTAACTAAATTGTGCGCAGCATATGGTCAGATTTGTTTAAAAAGAGATCTAATCATAAAATTTAAGCAATATAATCAATAAATTAAAATTACTTCATATATGTCAAACATTATAACCCATAATTTCAGGTTCCAGTTTACTTTCAATTGTTCTTAGAATATTAAAAAATAGAGCCAGGGATTTAGCTCAATGGTTCTCGCAAGCGAGAAGGCCCAAGTTCAATACCTGGTACCAAAAAAAAAAAATAAAAAAATAAGAAATAGTAACATAATTGAAACATAATAGTATACAAATACAAATGATACTTTATCACCAATTCATTAAAGCACTTATTCTAAAAACTATCTTACCATTATTCAGCATAATTAGAAAACCATAACAAACTTACTAACAGCAGGAAAATATAACTATTTACACAAAAGCAACACACCACTCTTTTAAATAACTATTAGATAAAACCATGACAATAATAATAAAAATTTTCATAAAATAGCATTTGTTAAGTGAAAAAAATTCTGTATTCTAGAATTGGCCAAGTTAAATAACAGTTTTTTTTCCTCATTCAGTTTATTGGTACATTTTAAATATACAGTACAGTTACATTCATCATTGGGATCTTGTTCCTTTACATGACAAGTCTTGGTTCTCATTTTTTCCCCTTGTCCCTGCCCTCCCTTGAACACCTCCTCCCCTCCCCATTTACAAACATTTTATTTCCATTTTTTCATTATCTCCTAGTTCTTTCTTTTCCCTTCTTACCTTTACCTTATGCTTCCCACTTTCCCTACAGCTTTAGCCCTTTTCTTCCTACTTCACATTGTCAATTACCTCATTAGGAACTTATTACTATTGTAGTTTATTCACACCAGAGAAACTATTCAGTATTTACATGTGTGACTTATTTATTTCACTTAGGAGTATATCCTCAATATGTATCCATTTTCCTATGAATGAATCTAATTTCTCATTCTTTATGGCTGAGTAATATTCCATTCTATAAAAAAACCACATCTTCTTTATCCAGTTTCCAACTGATGGACAAATGGGCTGTTTCCAAGTTTTAGAGTTTACAAACTGTGCCGCTATAAACATGGGTGTGCATATATCATTGTGATATGATTCTTTTAATTCTTTTGGAAAGATACCCAGCAGAGGGATGGCTGGGTCAAATGGAACTTCTAGTCCCAGCTCACTGAGGTACCCCAATATTGATTTGCATAGTGGTTGCACCACTCTGCAATCCCACTGAAAAAGGAGAAGGGTTCCTTTCTCCCCACAACCCCACCAACGTTGGTTATTGTGTGATTTCTTCAAAGCAGCCATTCTTGGTGGGGTGAGGTGGAATCTCAGTGTTGTTTTCATCTGCATCTCTCGAATGACCAGTGAAGTGGAACATATTTTCATATATTTACTTGCTGCTTTTACTTCTTTGTCTGAGAAATGTCTGTTCATTTTGGATGCCAATTTTTGAATTGGGTCCTTGTATTTGGGGGGGCTGCTTGTTTTGAGTTCTTTATGTATTCTAGATAATAGTTCTTTGAGGAACAGTTGGTAAAAATTTTTTCCCACATTGTAGGTTATCTATTAGTTCTGTTGATGGTTGATTTTGCAGTGCCAAAGTTTTTTTAACAAGATGAGATCCCAGTTGTTGATTCTTTCTGATGGTTCCCATGCTACTGGGGATTTGTTCATAGTCTTTTCCTATTCCAAAGTCTTCAAGAGTTCTGCCTAACTTATCTTCCAGCAAGTTTAGTGTTTCTGTTTAAATATTTAGATCTTTCATCCACTTGGATTTTAATTTAGTACATGGTGAAAGATAAGGGTCTAATTTTAATCTTTGGCAGGTTGAGATCCAGTTTTTCCAGCACCATTTATTAAAGAGACTATCTTTCCTCCAGTGGGGATAGTCAACACCTTTGTCAAAGACGATGTAGCTGAGTACATCTGGAGTTCTTTTTGTGTGTTCCAATCTGTTCCACTAATCCTCAGGTATGTTTCTTTACCAGTACCATGCTCTTGTTATCACAGTGGCTTTGTAGTATAGTTTCAAATTCAGAATTGTTATGCTGCTGCCATGTGTCTGTTGCCTAGGATGGATTTTGCTATTCTAGGTCTCTTATGGTTCCAAATAAATTTTTGGATTCTTTTTTCTGGTTCTGTGAAATATAGTGTTGGAATTTCAATTGGCATTGCATTGAATCTGTATAGCAGTTTTGGTAGTATGGCCATTTTCACTATGTTGATTCTTCCTACCCAGGAGCAGAGGATATCTTTCGATTTTCTTATATCCTCTTCAATGTCTTTTTTCAGGGTGCTGTAGTTTTCAGTGTAGAGGTCTTTTGCTTTTCTTGTTAGGCTGATTCCTAGATACTTCATTTTTGGGGGTGCTATTGTGAAATGAATTGTTTCCCTAATTTCTCGCTCAGTGAGTCTGTTATTTGTGTACAAGAAGGCTATTGATTTTTAGGTGTTGACCTTATATCCAGCTACTCTGCTAAAAGTGTCAATTAAGTCTAGAAGTCTTTTGGTGGAGTTTTGGGTGTTTTCAATGTAGAGTAGCATATCATCAGCAAATAATGGCAGTTTAACTTCTTCCTTTCCTATCTTTATTGCTTTAATTTCTTTCTCTTATCTAATTGCTATGGCTAATGTTTCCAGAACTGTATCAAAGAGGAGTGGTGATGGTGGGCATCCTTGTCTTGTTCCTAACTTTTAACATGCAGGTTTCAGTTTTTGGCCATACAATATGATGTTGCCTGTGGCTTTTCATAGATAATCTTTAGTAAGTTGAGATAAAGACCATCTATTCCAATTCTCTGCAGGGTTTTTATCATGAATGGGTGTTGAATTTTGTCAAATGCTTTTTCTGCATATTTTGAGAGGGTCATATAGTTTTTGTCCTTGACTCTGTTAATATAGTGTATTACTTATGTATGTTGAACCATCCTTGCATCCCTGGAATAAATCTGACTTGGTCCAGATGTATGATCTTCTTGTTGACCCACTGTATTCTGTTTGCTAGTATCTTATTAAGGATTTTTGCATCTATATTCATTATGGAGATTTGCCTGTAGTTCTCTTTTTTAGTTGTGTCTTTCCCTGGCTTGGGAATCAAAGTGATACTTGCTTTCCAGGAATGAATTTGGAAGTATTGCTTCCCTTTTAATTTCATTGAAAAGTTTGAAGAGTAATGACAGTAGTTCTTCTCTAAATGTCTTGTAAAATTCAGCAGTGAATCCATCAGGACCTGGGCTTTTCTTTGTTGGTAAACTTTTAATTACATTTTCAATTTCACTGATTGTAATTGGGGTGTTTAAAATGTTTTTATCTTCTTCATTCAACTTTGGTAATTGATAAGTATCTACAAATCTGTCCATTTTTTCTGTGCTTTCCATTTTATTACAGTACAGGTTCTCAAAGTAGGTATTAATGATCCTCTGAATTTCTGTTGGATCTGCTGTGGCTTTGCCTTTTTCATTCCTGATTGCATGGATCTAAGCCTTTTCTTTCCAATAATTCTTCAATTCATTTTTTTTTGTATCATTTTCTTAGTTTCCATTGCATTCATTTCTGCTCTAATCTATAATTTCCTCTCTTGTTTGAGCTTTGAGTTTTTCTTGCTCCTGTTTTTCTAGGAGTCAAAGATTCATCATTAGGTTGTTTTTTGAGCTTGCTTTTATTTCCTAGTGTGGGCATTCACTGCTATGAATTTTCTGCATAGAAGTGCTTTCATTGTGTCCTATGGATTCCGTATGTTGTATTAGCATTTTCATTTATTTGTAAAAACCGTCTAATTTCTTCTTTAATTTCCTCTGTGATCCATTGAATTCAGGAGAGTGTTGTGAAATTTTCAGGTGTTTGTGAAGTTCCTACACTTTCTTATGCTATTGATCTCTAGCTTGATTGCACTGTGATCTGGTAATATACAGGGAATAACAGATTCATTTGCATTTATTCAAACCTGTTCTGTGAGCTAGTATGTGGTCTTTGTTGGAGAACGAGCCATGTGCAGCCGAAAAGAATATATATTCTGATTTTCTGGGGCGGAACACTCTATAGACGACTATTAAGTCCATGTGTTCAAAAGTTTGGTTCAGTTCTAGTATTTTATTGTTCATTTTTGGCCTAGATGATCTGTCTATTTGTGATAGTCGGGTATTTAGATTTCCCAGTACAATTGTATTAATGCTTGGTTTTTCATGTTTCTTAATATTTCTTTTATATAGTTGGGGTCATTAATATTTGGTGCATAGATGTTTATGATTGTCATCTCTTCCTCTTGAATTGTTCCCTTTACAAGGATGTAGTGGCCTTCTTCGTCTCTTTTAATCAGTTTTGGTTTGAAATTTACTTTGTTTGCAAATAAGATTGCTATCCCTGCTTTTTTCTGGGCTCCTGCACATGGAGAATTATTTTCCATCCCTACACTTTCAGCCTATGGGCTTTTTATCCACTAGGTGTGTTTCTTATATACAATATATTGTTGGATTTTGCATCTTAATCCATTCTGCCAGTATATTTCTCTTGATCAGTGAATTGAGGTCATTGACATTGATGGTAATAACTGATATGTACTGATTTAATGTCATGTTATTGTCCTTTTGTTGACACTTTTTAATTTTTTAATCCTCTACTTTTAGTTTCTTGCCTTGCCTATTTGATTTGTTCTGTTGGGCCTCATGGTGTTGTGACCTTCATT